GGTGGTGGTAATGGTGGTGGTTGGATGGTCTCAAAGGTGTGGTAGGCAGACCGCCCAGACTCCAAACAGGAGAGGCTCGAGAGGGGAAAATCTCACCAAAAGGGAACGTGAAGAGGGCATGAGACAGGACCTGACCTGAGTACCTGCGCTAGAAGGGGGGCCAGCAGTGCAGCGGGTGCAAGGGAGTGGAGCAGGCGACGACAGCGGGCAAGGGAAAAAGAGGGTCTGAGGGGTGGAATTACGACATTGGGGAGGGGTGTGTGTTGAGCGTGGCGTGAGGGACACAGCGACAGAGAGCAGCACAGCAGCGCCCTACAGTGGCATCGTACAGCAGCTGCACCACACTCAGCGCATACAGGGGCATTCCGTGCCTTGTGATGCTTCCTTTTGCGCAAACCAGAAGCTCTTTCAACTCAACCTGACCACCTCTGACGTTCACACCCACTTGTGTGTTTCTTTTGTTTCTTTGTTTCTCTGCTTTTTGACAGGCACCCGGCCCAGCTATCTTACTTGCTCCGGGACCGTAGCCCCGCTGGAGGACAGCCAACAGACGACGGAGCCTCGACCTGCGAGAGCCGCACAATGCATAATCCTCTGCCCGCTGCGTCGTATCGCTGTCACTATCGCATATTATGCTCTCCAAATGACACCAAATGTGCGGAGTAGTCGCACTGTCTGTTGCAGCCTGTACCATCTGTAATCTACATTGGAGGCTGGCTGGATGATGGTGGGATCGTGCTTGGTGAAGTGTGCAAGCCCAGTGGCGACTTGTCTTCTGTAAATGATTTGAAATCGCCTGCTAACATCTCGATTTGCCCACCTCCACTGATGCTCAGATGCTCTTCCCGCGCCCTGCCCTTGCTAAACCACTGGCCGACCGCTAAGGCAGCCTTGGCGTTCGATCGAGTAACGACCACCCCCCTTGTGCCTTTGTGCAGATGTTGCCTGTGGCCTGTTCTTGTTCATGCCTGTTTCTCTGCCTCAACTTATCGATTACCTCGCCTGACCAATCCTGGCCAATCCTGGCTATGTCCGTTGCTGCCGTCCGTTGCTGCCGTGCCCTTTCTTTTCTTTTTTTTTCTTTCTTTCTCGCATTTTGCCCTGGCACGGCACAGATGTCTCAAATCGACAAACTTTATTTGTCGGAGGGGACAGCTTCAAAAAGGGCCAGCTACTCCATAGCCCCTGTCCTAGGTTGTCTTTGTCCTTTGTCTCATGTCCCCTGGTGGCCTTTTTTGCCTTGTGCTTTTGTTCTGCGACGTAGGCGACGGCGTCTCTTTTGTCTGGGAAAACAAAGGTGCAAAACGAAACAAAGGGGACAAGCCTCAAAGAGCCAGTTAAGCAAGTCCAAACGTCACCGACCGTCACCAACAAAGAAGCCCATGTCATCGCATCTTCAAAGAAACGACAGCTGGTGCCCCGACAAAGGCGATGGCCTTTCTAGAGCTTTACAAGAAGCTCCTCACACGAGCAACTATCGATGCGGCCTTGTAGCACCAGTGGAACGTTGGTAGACCGGCTGGTTGGATCCATTTCGAGGCGTCATCGACAGTGTATTGCTGTTTTGCACGTCGCACGTCGTATGCTGGCAACACTACTGCACAAAACTGGTGTACTGATCGGAGAGAGTACAGAGAGCACACAGCACAGAGCACAGATAGAGACCCGAAGGAAACCGAGGAGATAACTAACCCGAGATACAATCAACGTGATGATACACAAGCGTAGGTGTAAAGTGCAGGTGCAAGGAGTAAGTCCGACATTGTCCGTCCTAGACAAAGAAGGCTGGAGACACGCCATGTGTGAATGCACTCGTATGCGGCCTGCGTCTGACGGGCAAATATGCTGTGCACACATCCTACGACTGCCTTGTTTTGAGCAGTCTTGGGAGCTCGCGATGCGCAAAAGAGCCCTGACCAGTGGAGGGGCAAAATTCTGTATGCCGTATGTCGTAAGTCGTACGTCGACAGGGATCGTTGTCTAGGATGCGCACGGCCCTGATCGCTTCTGTCACCCAGCACTCAAAATAAATCGAGGGGGCAGGGACGGCTCGTATTTCTTGCAGAAGAACCCAGACATTCCAAAATCGAAAAAGAAAGACACATGTCCGCCATGATCAACATGCTGTCGAAGTTCGTTTTTTTTTTTTTTTTTTTTTTTTGTTTTGTTGGCGGGTGTAAATCATAAGCTTACGACGTTTGCTACTGTGGGGACAGTCTTTTTGAAAGTCGGGAGGCTGGAAAAGACTGGTCCTAGTGGCAGATGGCGGCCACAGTGGGGGGTGCTTTTGGTACAAATGCACTAAACTCGTAGCGGCCAAGACAAAAGGACCAGAACGACGGGCACGCCACTGTCGTCGCTGTGTGCCCCTCGCAACACAGCGATGTGGCGCTACTGCAGGAGGAGGGGCCTAGAAGCCCACAACCAGCCAGGGGGAACGGAGCCAGCAAGGCACACCGCAGCGGCAGAGGGTGTGCGTTTACAAATGCGTTTACAACAAACATAGCGGCATGGGCTGGAGGCGGCGGTACGACATACACCAAAAGGACAGGCACACGGATTTTGCAGGTTGGGATGCACAGGCACACAGCACAAGCACAGGGCACGGGATCCAAAATACAGGCACAGCACACCGCCTTTGTAAAAAAGGTGACGGTTTGGTCGGGCACAAAGGTACGCCGAGGGAGCTGAGCGACCATCTGCCTCCTATGGTCCTATAACTCTGCGCCTCTGTGCCCTGTGCCTTGACTCCAGAGTGCGACATATTTCCTTCCGCAACACCTTCTGCTTTTGTTTGTTCTGGAGTGTACCTTTTTGCCCCCGGTGAGCCTTATATATATCGCATTCTCCATTTCGTAGCCCGAGCATCCCGCTGGCGCCGTTGTCCACCGTCTCCGCGGCCTCCGCCGGTAATCCACTTGCAGTGCTTTTGCTCTAATACGTTGTAACTCCTCCACTTTAAGCCCACTTGCAGCTCCCATATGCGCAAGGCGAAGCCTATGTTGCGAGAGGAATCGACCGCCCGAAGCGCAGGATTCACGTTAAACAAAACAGAACCTGTCGCCGCTCAGGCGGAAAGTCAGACCTGAGCAGACTCACAATAAAACAATAAAAAGACCCCTTGCGCATCCCGTGCAACCCCTTGCATAAGGACAAGGCTCGCATCGCGATTGCTGGCGTGCGTTCGACCGATATGTGCGACGAGACGCCGTGCTCATCTTTCTGCTCTGGTCCATCTGTCTACCTGACTCGACTTTGTTGTGGAAGACGGAGCATCTTACGGTGGCTCGAGTGGCTCGAGTGGCTCGAAGGGCCCGTTGTCAGCAAAACATGAGATGAAGCGACACTACAAAATGCACTAGGCAGTCGGCGATCACCAGACCTGCAAAACATATTAGTTGTCCCCTCCTTTCCCCGCCTCGCCGGCCTCTAGCATCGCGATTTGGACTTTGGTGTCTTTGGTGTCCTTGGTGTCTTTGGAGGTCTGACGTCGATCAGGAACATGCAAAGAGAAAGCTCGCAGAGGGACTGGTAGAACAAAAGGCACCCAGGCTGTGTAGCCCACTCCCCGGAGGGCTGTAGGGGGTACATTCCTGTGCCTGGCCGTTCTTGGCCATCGCCGTATAGTTTACAGCACAAGTTAGACTTGCAACTTAGGCGACAGCAGCGAACTCCGTCATGCCCACCGCACAACAATGACCAACAGAAAACGCCCTTTGTCAGGCACCCAAGGTGGCAAAGATGGCTTTGACACCGACGACACCATACACCGTCCGTAAGGCCACTGGCAGATTTCTCACGTCCCGCAACTCCCCTCAACCAGGCGACGACCAGGCGAGGGGAAGTGAGGGCGGAAGGGAGAGAAAGGTCGCAGGCCGCAGTTGAGGAACATGCCACACGGCGTAATTTGGGTGCCTGGCCTGGCCCTGTGCTGGCGGACTTCAGTGAGTCGTCCACTGAAACGAGCAGAACCATCCACTGAAGAGGAGAGCCAACCCCCCCCCCCCCCGGCCGTTTGTACCTCACTATGGCCGCGAAGGAGCTGCCAGTCACAGTACCTCGCACTACCAAACCGGCACTTTGCACTGCGCATTACATGCACATCCTCTTAGCGCATGCTATTTCAACGGCCTTTGTGTCCATTTGTGATCATGTGCTCTGTAGCGCAGAAAGTCGTGAGTGTGCCTTTTTGCGACTTCTTAGTCGTCCACCCATCGTCGAACTTGGGATGAATAAAGCCCAGTCTTAGGCGCAATCGAAGGTTGCACGCCTCAAAGCTTCCCCAGGCGAGCGCGTCGCCACCCAATAAGTGACCAAACCTATTGTCGTTCTCCCAATGCCCGCCGGTTTGCTGAGTCTGTTCATTCGTTGTGGAGGCCATCAAGAACTGTGACTGTGGGGAAGCGAGCGCCGAGGGTCTCTGCCGGTCTCTATGCGGAATGCTGCCGTACCGGCAGCGGCGATGCTAGCCGGACAAGAACGACGACGTCTGGCTCCGAGACTAAATGTGCTAGTCAATATTCATCATTTTCTCTCTTGTGTTCGTGTGCAAGCACGCCTTCTTTGGGATTTACCCGTTGCCCCCACGACTCTATACAGGAGGTGGTGCCGAGTGCACCTGCCGCTTGTAGATAACATATGCTCTTTCCTGTTTACATTCTTCATGCAGCCCACGTCGGGCAAATAAATTGCTGCGGGGGGTGCTTTATCCGGATGCAGAAGGAAGTATCCTCGAGATGACCAAGGAGGAGAGCGGAGTGTCAACAAACGGCAGGAACGGGGGGAAGTAAATTGCAAGAGGAAGGGCAACGTGAGGAAGGGCAACGTTGTAGTAAAAGAAAAGCAATGCCCGAGGAAGGATCTCAATGTGCAAGCTCTGTGTACTTTCCCGATTGGGCGAGCATCTTGGGTGTTTTGGTGATCCTGTGTTGACGACGTTCTGTTTTGATATCCCCTTCGCCTCTCACCCTTATGCCGACCGCCCTCCGTCACAGGCCACAATGCATTTCGTTTCACGATGGCCTTCTTTTGGATTCATTTTTTTGTTCCTGATCATCCACACAGCGGACGCCCTCTTTCCTCAACGACCGCTGCCGCCGGTGCCGGACCGCAAGTTCGTGGGCAATAAGCCGGTCCACGTCTGCAACGGCTCCGAGCCCAACACCGGCGTTGCCTACTTCGACCAGCTGCTCGACCACTCCTCCACCAAAGCGTCCAGCTGCAAGCCCCAGCGCACGTTCAAGCAGCGCTACTTTTGGTCCAATGCCACCTGGGGCGGGCCCGGCTACCCCGTCATTGTCACGACGCCGGGCGAGACCGCGCTCGATCCATACTGCAGCTTCCTCTTCCCACCTGCCCTCGTGGCCCAGATTGCCGCGCGTGTCCACGCTGCCGTCCTCGTCGTCGAGCACCGCTACTATGGCGAGTCGTCGCCGTTTCCGCGGTTGACGACACAGACGCTACAGCAACTGACGCTGCACAATGCCATCCATGACATGACGTACTTTGCGCGCAACGTGCAGCTGCCGTTTGATTCCACAGCCGGCACCAGCAAGCGAAGCAACGCACCGAATGCGGTGAGCTTTTTTTGGGCGTGTTTCTTCTTTGGATCCGTCGATCGTCTTGCTAACTGCTTGTACTGACAGCCCTGGATCTTGTCTGGTGGCTCGTATGGTGGCGCACTCGCCGCATGGACGGCCTCTCTGGCTCCCGACACCTTCTGGGCCTACCACGCATCCAGCGCCCCCGTCCAGGCCGTCTACAACTTTTGGCAGTACTTTGAGCCCATCCGTACCGGTATGCCCGCCAACTGCAGCCGCGACCTCGCCGACATCACGGCATACGTCGACTACGCAACGACGACACTGCCACCGGCTGCCTTGGCCGCCTTCAAGGACGAATGGGGTCTCGCGGAGCTGAGCGACCCGATTGACTTTGCCAGCGCCTTGGTGATAGCCACGCAGACATGGCAGGACAATAGTCTCAATACAAACTACACGCAGTTCTACCAAATGTGCGACGCCATTGAAGGATACGGGACTGGGATCCTAAATGCATCCTCCTCCGGCAAGAGCAGCCGCGTCACACGAGCCGTCCGGGCCAACACGGACATTGCCACGAAGGTCTCCAACGTCGCCAAGTTCTTCAAGAATAAGGTTCTCCCTGGATGTGCGTTGAGACAGGCCCACCCCTACTTCACAATGATGTCCGCAACTAACTACTGTTCATGTACAGTCTGCTACGACATGTTTGGATACGACGAGTACGCCCCGCACAACAACACCAAAGCGCCAGTGACCGCCTGTTTGAACAGCATGAATACCAGTAGTATCCTTTTCACCGACAGGGCCGTCAACAACTCGTATGCCGTACAGTGGACCTGGATGCTCTGCAACGAACCCTTTGACTACTACCAGACCGGCTCGACGCCACCGGGGGTTCCCGCCATTGCCTCGCGGCTCTTGACACCCGAATACTTCCAGCAACAGTGTGCTGTTTTGTTCGGGCCGAACAGCGCCGAGTTCCTGCCGACCCTGGCTGCTGGTGGAGGGCAACATCCGGCGAGCGTTGGCGCCATCGCAGCCCAGGACAACACATACGGCTCCGCTACCGGCAAGACCGTAGACCTGCTGAACGCTGTCACAGGCGGGTGGGACTTTAATGCCAAGCGTGTCCTCTGGGTCAACGGCGAGTTCGATCCGTGGCGTCCCGCCTCCGTATCGAGCACCTTCCGGCCTGGGGGTCCCCTCCAGTCGACGCCCGACTCGCCCGTCATTCTCATCAAAGGCGGCCGGCACTGCGAGGACATGAATACTAGGAGTAATGGAACCTACATGGCCACGGTCCGTGCCCAGGAGGTCGCCCATTTGGCGAGGTGGGTGGACGACTTTTACGATGCAACGACCCAGCCAGGCCAGAACCGGACGGTGCCCAGGCTCCTGACAAAGAAAAGCCAGTAGGTGGCCCAAGGCCGGCGTCCAACACACTCTCGTGCAACAACTACCTAGGAAAACAATAGATAATACATAGAATAAAAAAGTATTCGTATCGACGAACAATGCATGGCTTTTCAAACCGGCAAAAGGCGTCGTGTTTGCCGAAAGCACCCCCCTTTGGGAAATATCATCGGCCCTTTCGAACCTCTCCTCGCCTGTCAGTGGGAAAATGGCGGGGTAGTACGTTTGCAATTAACAAAATTCCAAATGTTTTCTTTTCAGACCCCTGGCTGTACCTGCCGGGAGTCATATGGTAGAAGAAGTATGTTTGCACGGCACCTCCACGGCGAGTCACACAAAACAACGGAGAATTGTGTTTCTCATGTGTAAGCTGAAACACGTTTTTAAATGTCGAGAAGATGAACCACCATGCGACCACGCAAGAGTGTCCAACACATCTGTCCGAGGGAGTCTTCAGCGGCTACAGCAGGCAACGGCAGCTGCTTCTCACCCTTGTCGACAATGGGCGGAAGCCATCCTATATTTCATCGTCTGGTGTACGCCGAGATTGGACGGATGGGTGGATCGATGTTGGCTGCGCTGAGCACCTTTGCCGTCATGGCATGGCGTGGACTTGTAACTTACGGTTGCATTGACCCAATGTCGAGGGGGCCTTAACGGCTATATGGAGAAAGAAAGACTAGATGAACGTGCTACTTAGAACGACATGCCCAATCTTGATCTTGGGTGCCATTGAGATGGGTGGACTGCAATGCAGGGACAGGGCAGACATGGTACATGCGGGGACGACGATTGAAATTTGAAAATGCAGACGGCCATGAAACAAGGGTCTCTCGTCTGCCTGGTTAAGTAATGGGCCGACGGGGCCAGACCATTTTGTACTTTTCCGTGTTTTCTCCACGTCGAGGTGACGACAGCAAGATGTACAGGATGATGCAGTTCCAAGCTTTTGGAACTTTGGGTCGGATGCGGACCTGGGGTTGAGCAGCAATGGGGAAGTCGCTTGATGGCGAAGAGCATTCGTCTGAATAAGACTTTGTTTCATCAAGACATTAAAGCGAAACAAGTTTTTTTTTTTTTAAAAAAAAAAACAACAAAATCATTTTGTCTATTGCTGTCAGCTGTACAAAATTATTTAAGTGGACAAGTAGACTTATTTATTTGTAGTGTTTATCATTTATCATTGTTTTTGTCTAAAAGTATACTTTGTACTCACATTGCTCGTATATCTTAACGCCATGACTTTTTTTTACTCAATCGACGTTGTGTCGCTACACTGCGCGACATGTAATTACGGGGCTCCTGAAGCGAGAGCGGATTTTGATAAATACGAGCAGCCAAGCGGACGAAGAATATGGTACGTAGCCAGAGAAGAAGGATAAAAGAACGATTTTGTTTTCCACAGCCAAATTTTGAGACACTGGCTGTTCCAAGGGCCCAACGCCAGCGAGTTTAACCTTTTTTTGCCCAATTTTGTTGTATGAGTGGACGAACTGTTGCCGTCCGTAAACCTGCGATGCTTCGGAGAGCCGTAAGTTGAAAGCGGTCAGGGAAGAAAAATAAAAGAAAAGAATAGATGACTTATCTTCAAACATCAACTTGTCGTTAAGAGCCGCTATAATACTGTATTTTGTTCACCTGCGTTGCCGGCATCGTTCGTTGGTTTAGCTACAGTGTTGCATCAAATGCCAATATGAATTGCATCAACAGCTCTTCGGCCTCTTGACGCCTGCAACCAAAGCAAATGCGGACAACACCGAGCGCTCGGCTAAATGGTTGACGCACACACGAGAATAAGTCAGTCCTGACATATGTGTGTGCACAAAATGGGTGCACCAGAATGAGCCGTGACTTTGTCTAGCCGGGCGTTTGATCGCTTTTGATCGTCTGCACCCGGGCGGCCGGGCCACTCAGGACACACAATGTGCTCTGGGCACCGGCGTTGTGCTGGCAAAATGCGTGATGATGCACGCACTCCGGCCATAAAATAGAGAAGAGATAAAAACACAGAACAAACAAGCCAGAATAATGGGAAATGACAAGAGACCATTTGAGCCATGAGACAATGCATGGAAAAGATGGCCGATCAAGCTGTTTCTCCGGGATCATTTGGCCCGGGCGACTGACTTCCACGACATACATCTACCCTTGACAACCCGAATCCATGTTCGTCTGGTGATTTTCGTATTTTGTCTTTTCTTCCTTGATGTTTTCCACCCTATTCGCCTTGGATCCATCTATTCGAGCCCATATCGACTGTCACGCCAATTTCAACGCCACGATCATCTCGTCCACAAACATCTCAACGCCATGACTGCATCTCATACATGAGATAGTGTTGTTGTCGAGTCGATTACGGTCCGTTCGGCCACCGTCCACCACCACCACTGCCCTCGCCATGGCTTTCATCGAAACGAACGCGCCGCGCATCGTCGTGTCGCTGTCCGTCATGACCGGCGTCGCCTTAGTCTTTATGGTGCTGCGCTTCTTCTGCAAGGTGCGGTTCCACAAGACGTTTGGCGTCGACGACCACATGCTGGCGGCCGCCTGGGCCTGCCTCGTCGCCTACGCCGCCCTCACCATCACGTCGACGAACTACGGTGTTGGCCTGCACATCGCGGTCATCTCGAGCGGGGACCTGGTGACGGGCTTGCGGCTCTTGTACGTCGGCCGCTTCCTCGCCATCATCGCCCTGGCCATCAGCAAGACGTCCTTTGCCGTCACGCTCCTGAACCTCGCCAGCACGGCATGGCAGCGCTATGTGCTGTGGTTCGTCATTGTGTCGCTCAACGTCGTCATGTGGTTCGCGGGGCTGTCGCTCTTCATCCAGTGCAGCCCCATCCAGAAGGCGTGGGACCTCCATGCCGCCGGCACCTGCTGGAAGCCCATGGTCCAGGTCAACATTGGCATGGCGGCCGGCGCCTACTCGGCGCTGATGGACTTTATGCTGGCGCTCTTCCCCTCGTTTTTGATCGGGAAGCTGCAGATGAAGAAGACAGAGAAGTACGCCGTCATCCTGGCCATGAGCCTCGGCGTGTTTGCCGGCATCACCGCCATCATCAAGACGTACTTTATCATGGGCAGCCAGCGGTCCAAGGACTTTACCTTTACGACGGCCGACCTGCTGATCTGGTCGGGCGCCGAGACAGCCGTGACCATCATTGCGGCCGCCATTCCCTTCTTGCGGCTGCTCCTGAAAGAGGCGGCCACCAAGCACAAGACGTCAAGCCCGCCCGAGACCTATGACCTCGACGCCCTGTCCAGGTCCGGCGTCGTCGGTGGAGCCACGACCCTGACGCAGACGCAAAGGGAACCACAAGACCGCGACGACGCGAGCGAGAAGAGCATCTTGGGCGAGACGAAGCGTGGTCAGCTGCACATTGAGGGCGGCCAAGCCAAGTCTGACTATGCATGAGTGGAGGGGGTGCTGAAGACATGCAAATGTAAAAGTGCAATGCTGTATATATTCTGTGGTTGTGGTCAGGTCTCATGAGCGGCGTTCTGGATTTCATGTTGTCTTTCTTTGTCTTTCGTTGTTTGAACCCCGTACATTTGGGTTAGTACGATATCGGAGAGTAATGAACTGTATTGAGGATGGCCCTGGGTGAAGCCGCATGCAATGCCGAGACTGAACATGCAATATAAATAAACAATCGCAATCTAAGGACAAATCCAAAGCCGTGGCGGGGAAAACAACAAGATACCATCAAGGGTTCATTCTACCGACACGACGTATGCAATAGACTACGATATTATCCATTGTGCTTGGACATGTCGCATGGGGCTGGCTTGGTGGAGAACAAATATTGCCGACAGCGCCTGCCAGACGGCCAAGTAAACATCAGTCAAATGGATCTCAAAATCGTATCGAATACATCACAAAAAGACGAACCATTTTCCATCGTCGGCTATGCATCTTCTACCGACTTCCGTTGGCCTCCTTGGCCTCTTGCCAGCCGTCCTTGCGGCCTGCTCTCGTGACGCTCTGTTGGCTTCGGCCGAGACGTACATCGCCGCCCAGCGCAGTGGCAAGACCGACGGCCTCAAACTGGCGAGCAATTTTACGTACCGAGAGAACAACAAGGTGGCCGACCTGGCCAAGGGCGTCTTGGGCAGCACGGCGCTGGCGCTGGACGCCAACCGCTCGACGGCGGACACGGTCGCCTGCGCCAGCTACACCATGCTGATTGCGGCCGGCGGCACCAAACCGTATGTCCTGGCCACGCAGCTGCGGCACGACAGCGGCGACCCGTCCGTCATCACGATGATTGACACGATTGCTGCCACGACGGGCGCGCTCTTTTTCAATGCAACAAAGACGCTGGGGTACATCCAGGCCGAGTCCTGGGCGCCCCTCGCCACGGCCGCCCAGCCGTCCCGCGCCGTGCTGAAGCAGATTGGCGACGCCTACCTCGACATGTGGACCGACAAGAACGCCGCCGACTCGATCCCCTGGGGCACCAACTGCGAGCGCGTCGAGGGCTCGCAGCTGACCCGGCCCTGTGGCGCGTCGCTGCCGCGCGGCGGGAGCGCCCAGCCCAACGCGATGCGGCGGTACGTGATTGACGAGACGGTCGGGTCCGTGGACGTGCTGTGTGCGTTCAACTCGCTGGGCAACATGCCGGACAGCCACGAGATCCGGGTGGAGGACGGCAAGGTCAAGTATGTACATACCATTACTGTGTTGGAGGGAAGCGGCAAAGGGATGTAGAGTCAAAACCAAATTGTCAAATTTCCTATCAGATGCTGTGCTGAACAGCGTAATCGCGCTACTGCTGTACGTAGAATATCTTCCAAGAACACCTTCTTCCCCCGTCTTCCCTACGTCTTTAACGTCCAACTCTTGTCCATGTAGTTGTCCTTCCACTGCTTGGTCACGGGGTCGAGATTCTCCGTCTGGGCCGCCTCCCACTCCGCTTCGATCAGCTGCTTGCGTGCCTCGGACCGCGGCCGGATGGTGGCGCGAAACTCCTGGGGCATGCACACAAAGCCCTGCGTCAGCTTCTCCTGGTCCGGTAGATCGGGCTGTCCGCTGGCGTCCAGCGCCGGCGTGATGTCGAAGCCCCACAGGATGCGCGACATGGCCAGGAACAGGCTGCGCTCGGCCACGTGGATGCCCGGGCAGATGCGGCGGCCGGCGCCAAAGGTGAACTGGTCGCGCTTGGCCGCGTCCGGGTTGGCCGCGGCCTCGCCGAGCGACTGGCGGTCGTCGAGGTAGCGGTCGGGGTCGAAGCGGCGCGGCGCGGGGTGGCGCGTCGCGTCCATGTTGATGCCCCAGACGTTGTTGAGCACACCCGCGCCCTTGGGGATGAGGTACCCGTTGTAGGAGTCGTCCGCCGAGGCGGCGTGCGGCACCGCTCCCAGAATGGTGGTCGGCATCCACCGGATCGTCTCCTTCATAATGGCGCGCACGTACTGCAGGTCGGCGTCGTCATCCATGGTGGGCAGGCGCGCGTCGCCCACGACCGCGTCGACGATAGCCTGGGCCTTTTTCTGGATCGCCGGGTAGAGCAGCATGGCCTGCACGAACGCGTAGATGGTGCTGGACGTCGTGTCGGAGCCGGCCTCGAGCAGCGTGCCCGAGATGTAGCAGGCCTGGTCGTCCGAAAAGCCCTCCTTCTTCTGGGCCTCGGCCAGGCCGACGCAGAAGCACGGCGCAATGGTGCCCTTGCGGATCTCGTCCTTGGCCTTGAGCCAGTGGCTGAGGTACAGCGCCTTCTCCTTGGCGTGCAGCGTCTTGGCGAGGCGCCGCGTCGGGTTGAGGGCCTCGGGGAGGTTGCGCAGCAGCGGGAAGGCGTCCAGCAGCGCGGCGGCGCCCGTCTGGTTGAGGTCGGCAAACTCGGCGAAGCCGTCAAACAGCTGCATCAGCTTGTCGTCCTGGTACGTCGGCGTGCGCCAGCCAAAGACCATGGTCGTTGTCAGCGCATTCGAGTAGCGGCGGATGTGGCACAAAAAGTCCTCGGGCGTCTGCGTCAGGTCGTACAGCATCTGCTTGTTTTCCAGCACCTGGTACGTCAGGTAGGCCTTGGACGCGGCGACGTTGAGCAGCGAGTGGAACAGCTTGCGGAAGCCGCGCCACGTCTGGCCGTAGCCCATCATGAGCAGCCGCAGCCCGCCGCTCGCCAGCGTCTGGCCGACATACAGCTCCGGCCGGTCCGAGTATATGTTGCTCTTCTTGTCGAGCAGGTCCTTGACGGCCTGGTCGCTGCTGAGAACGATGAGCGTCTGGGTGCCGAGGATCAGCGAGAAGACGGGGCCGTACTGGTCGGCCCATTTGCGGAGCTGGAGATGCAGGTCGCGTTTGGGCATCTGTGGCCGTTTGTCAGTGGTCAGTGGACCGTGAGGGTAGACGATTTAGACATAGCTCATGCGTCCTTTACACGTACAAGATGAATATTGCCAAGAATGGGAATGGTGGGCGGGCCGGGCGGGTAGTTCTTGGGCCGCCGGCCGACCATGAGCAGCCGCACGAAGCCGGTCACCAAGAGGAGGAGGAGAGATGCGTGGAGGATGGGAGACATTGTGTTGTAGTCAGATTATGTGATGTCAGACGCAGTTGTGGTGGGACGAGAGATAAAAAGAGCAATCGACACCGAAAGGGATTGCAAGGTCTGCAAACTTATACCCACAATGCCATGATGGCATCGCCCCTTGGGCGAAACCTGGCTGTCATTCATCTCATTGGTCCCACATTCGGATGCCAACTGCATCATCGTGTCGTCGATCGACTAAGCATTCCCCATATCAAATCCGGGGAAGATGTGGGAGGTAGATCAAATGCGGAGGACAAACTTGGAATTGTACAAAAGATGTTCCGACAGTTGCGGAGTTGACAACAGACGTCGCAGGAATGGCTAAAGTGTGGGGAGGCATCGGAGCTCTGTGGGATGGTGGATGTGGGAGGCACTAGGAGATGTTGCGGGAGGCTGTGGAGGTGGACATACCCCAATGTCGCACCTTGTAATGGAGTCTAAGGCTAGTTTTAACATGCAAGTTTGGCCATAGGCATCTAGAAAGAATGTCAAGAACACAGACACGAGCACATAATTTTGAATGGTGATGTAGCTGTGGGGTGTCATTCGTCGTACGATGTAAATACTGTCTTTCCTCCGTAACGCCGTCTCCTTAATACGCCATGCAAACCGTCTACGCCCGCCTTACATTAACTGTACATTCCTAAACTGGCTAATCAAGTCGTTGACTTGCCGCATGCTCGTTTCGTCGTACTTTGTCAGGATGGGGTCGGCCGCGGTGTTGTCGACGGCAGAGTGTGCATGCAGGCTCTCGCTCTCGTCGGTCATGTCTGTGCTGGCATTCAAATATGTCGGCATCAATGTGGGCATCCGTGCAGACGTTTGTTTAGACAGCCCTGTTGGCTTCCGAATCGACGAAGTCGATGATGCCGGCACCGATGACGACGATGTCGACGACGACGACAACTGGTTGATGACCATGTGAGCCAGCAGCCAGTACTCGGGCGAGTGCCGCATGAAGCCCGTGCGGCGCCACATGTCTTCGGGCGCGGTTGTGTCGTCCTCGGCGTCGTCGTTACTGTCGTCATCGTCGTCGTCGTCATGGCGGGCCTTTTTGCCTGTCTTTGCTGGCGGCATGGGCACCATGGTGTGCGGCGGCCCCGAGGCAAATTCGTGCTTGTAGAGCTCCCAGACGGCCTTCCAGTTGGCCAGGCCCGTGCGGATGGCGTGCAGCTGGTCCTCGCCGCCAAACGAGTTTTGCTTCTGGAAGAGGAGGAAGTGGAAGGCAGAGACGATGCAAAACAGATTCAGCGGGCCGAGGTCGGCGAACGCGCGGCAGACGGCCGGCGCCAGCGGCGCGGAGCAAAACGACTCGACGATTTCGCGCAGTGTGCAGTGCTGCAGCAGGCTGTGCATGCCGTGCCCCTTGTGCAGCGCGCACCGGCGCAGCCACTGGTGGGCCGCCCGCGCGCAGTCGGCGGCCGTCGTGGCCTGGAACGTCGACTCGGGCCAGGCCGTGTGCATGACCATTTCCTTGATCATGACGCGCGGCGGCAGGTTGTTGAAGATGGCAAAGGCCTGGTCCAGCAGGTAGATCCACAAAAACGTGCGAATCAGCTGCTCGCGGGCCACAAAGGCCTTCCAGTGGAAGTCGTGCGTCTCGGTCGGCGCCGTGCCGCCGTAGTCGACGTGCCGCGCGGCGCCGATGCCAATGTCGCGCGCCACCGACACTACCGTGCTGAAGCGGTAGCGCCGGATGCGCTGCTTGCTCTCGTCGGTGCCCTCCCAGTTCTGATACAGGCACACAATGTACGACGCCTGCAGCGCCTGGATCGTGCGGCGGTGGGCCAGCGGGTCAAACGCCGCCGCCGACGCACCTGACGTGCCCGACGTGCCCGACGCGCCCGGCCGCGGCGGACTGCCAAAGTCGTCGTCGATAAAGACCACCTCCTCGACGCAGTTGAACCAGATGCGCGCCTGCTCGTAGTCGCTCGCGTCGGGCGACATGCACGCGCCGATCAGCGCCATGGCCACCACCAGCACGCACTTGGCGTCGACCGCATCAAACGTCGGCCGGTGCACCATGTTGACGTTGGGGTGCCAGCGGGCCCAGTAGAGCGCCAGGAACTTGCGCAGGTTGCCCGGCGAGAAGAACTGCAGGCACTGCTGCTCCACGTCGGGCGACCAGTCGAGCGTCACGGTGCTGTTGCGCGGCTTGACCGTGGCGACCTCGCGGATGCGGAAGAGGATCTGGTGGGTTTTGACAATCAGCGGGTCCTGGAAGGGCGCCGGTGAGGGTGAGAGGGAGGGCTGGAGGGACAGGAACGGGTCAGCGACGCCGGCCACATCGCAAGATGGGAGGCCCGCAGAACGGCTGACACCGGCATCACCCAACGCCAACGACTCCACAACCTGCAAGGCCTGGCGGCGCGTGCCGCAGTCAAACGTGACCAGCCCGGTCTTCTTGGTGAAGTTGTCGAGAAAATAGAAGGTGTATGAGATGGGCAGCTGTTTCTGGGCTGGGATATGACCGGTCGATGCCAGCGCATGGTCGTTTGTTGTGTTGTCCGCGTGGTTGTGTATGTGTGTGTTTGCTGTCATGTTCGCGCTCGCAGTTGTCAAATTCAAAAAGTCCAGCCAGCTGTCAGTGTCTGCTGCACCGTGTGAGTGGTTGCTGTCCAAGAGAAACTCGGCAGCGTTGCCATCCAAGTAGGCAAACGACGACGGCTGGACGAGCTCCAGCATCGTGGGCATGTCGATGTCGGTTGTGGAGAGAGCTGTGTTTGCTGGGAGGACTGTGTCTCCGAAAGAACAGTGTATTCCATTCATGCCGTCGACGAGTACAAGACGGTTGTCGGCATGGTTGTCTGAAGCGCCGAGACGACAGCCGCCATTTGTGCTGTCGTCGATGTCGTTGGTGCCTTCGCTGGCACTGTCGTCGTGCTCGACATCTTCAATGCGCGTATCGTCACGCCATTGTGTCTCATCTGCTGCCGCTCTCGTAAACGAATAGTGGCACGCCAGTCCCCTGACGCGGCAGTTGGTACACGGCTGCCCCGTGCTGCAGCCCCGCTTCGACTGCACACAGCGGTCGCATGCTGTTCTCTTGACCGAGAGAGCACCGCCCTGCCGCGTCTGGCACGTTACAAAGTGCCGCTTCAGCACATCCGCCCGGCGGTATCCGCTGCCGCAGATGGAGCACCGGTGGGGCGGCACGGACGCGTGTGAGACGGCATGGCGTTGCAGGTGTTCGCGGCGTTTGTACGATTTAGAGCAGACGGAGCAGGTAAACGGAGAGGAGGAGGAGGTGGAAGATGCAGTAGTGGTGGCGGTGGCCGAGGTTGAAAATGTGGTTGAGACCGGGATTGGAGTGTCGGACATTGTCAGTCGGAGTCGGAGCTCAGCTGAGTTTCTTTTGCTCGTTTCGCGTGTCAAGTCACCAGTCGCCGGAGATAGCATGGGCGGGCGCAGAAAAAACAAGATGTGAAGCGGAGGAGCTGTGGGGAGATATGCCGGTGAAAACGGGCCGTGGGGAACATAGAGAACTGGGGATATGGGAAAGGGACGACGGGGTATCACATGAAGGCTGTCAACGGAGCGCATTGGACATTTGCCACCCCCAGAGTGAGAGGAACTGGACCTTGTTCCAGCGATTGGTCGTTGGTAGATCTTCAATTCCCCTTCTGAACTGCCAAGTTCTTAGCGTGAACTTTACTACTTTAATATTTAGTAGCGCGCATGTACGAGTGTAAAATCAAGCTGCCCAGACTCGCCGAATGCATCGGGTAGGCACCCGGCAACTTCTTCGGAAGCAGGGCGTAGGTGGAGAAATGTGGTGATCTTGGAGAAAGAATAGTCCAGCGAGATGTCACCAAGAATATAAGAAATACTTAAGTAACACGTATAAAAAACAGTACGATGCTAAATGATACATCGAAATAAAGTTGAGAAATATACAAATAACCGGTATTTACGTGTCGTAACGTGCTCTAATATGAATGCCTGATTTTGGAGTATCACTAAATCACGACTCGCTAGAACTTCCACGCACACAACTCCATACACGGCGCTATAGTTGATGACGTGCATCGATACCGTCTCCTTGATGTCCACCAACCTGCCTCCCACCCCTAATTCCACCTCAAGACGGCCTTGACCGTCCTGCCGGCGTGCGCGTCATGGATGGCCGCCTCATAGTCCTTGACGTCGTAGTACTTGATAATCTTCTCCAGCGGCAGCTTGCCTTGCCGGTGCATGTCAATCAGGTAGGGGATGAACTTGGGCGGGTTGCTGTCGCCCTCGGAGCACCCGACATACTCCTTGCCGTAGGTCAGGTGGGACGAGATGTCGATCTTGGCAGTCGACCCGAGGCCGGGCGCGCCCACCGTGGCCGCGCGGCCGTTCATGCCCAGCGCCGCCACCATGGTCTCGACCACAATGGGCACGCCGGCGCAGTCGACTGCGAAATCGACCCCGAGCGCCGGCCGAGGGCAAACGGCGCGGATGTCGGCGACGATCTTGTCGAGGTCCGAGCCGCCGATGACGCCGTGCGTTGCGCCCAGCTCCTGCGCCAGCCTGAGCCGCTCGGCGTGCAGGTCGACGGCAACAATGGTTGTGGCCCCGGCAGCCTTGGCGGCCATGACAGCGGCCAGCCCCACGGAGCCTACCCCAAACACCGCCACCGAGCTGCCCTGCTTGACTTTCAGTGTGTTGAGGATGGCGCCCACGCCCGTCTGGATGCCGCAGCCCAGCGGCGCAAACAGCTCGAGCGGCGTTTCCGCCGGCACGCGCACAATGCTCGACCGGTGCACAACTGCCAGCCGCGCAAACGAGCTCTGGCCAAAGAAAGTGCTGTGGACCGGCTTCTTCGCGTTACCCTCCCCCAAAAACAGGGCCGTCGTGCCGTCCGGCCGCTTGCCGCCAAAGTTGCGGTCGTTAAAGTGGTAGCAGTAGGCCGGGTGGCCCGACTGGCAGCCCGGGCAGGCGCCGCAGTGGGCAAACGACAGCAGCACCTTGTCACCCACTTTGGCCTCGGTCACGTCGCTGCCCGTTTCCACGACGACGCCGCCGCCCTCGTGGCCCAGCACCGCATTGGGCTCGCACGGCAGCCGGCCCAGGGCGCAGTTGAGGTCGGTGTGGCAGACGCCCGAGGCGTGGATCTCGACGAGCGCTTCGCCGGGTTGCAGCGGCTCCAGCGAGACCTGTTGCAGCAAAAACTTGCCATTGAGCTCAGGCACCAACAGTGCCGTCGTTGTGCGAGACATTGTGTGGATGTGTGGATGTGTGTCGATGGATGTGGAAGTTTGTGTTGTGAGTTTAATGAGGAGACGATATATATTCTCGCCGACCGGGCTTATGAGTTTCTTTCGTGTGGCGTTCTTTCTGAATATCGTGCCGTGGTCCCTGACTTGACACTTTTGCAATCGCTCTGCCGCTGCTCTGCCGCTCGGATCATTGAAGTCGACCCCCGCTGTACTCTGCATATCCGAGCCATGCAGTCTCTTCTATCCGGCCAAGATGGGGAGTATCGGCACTAACACGCTAGGGGTCGTCTACGTCGGCCAAATCGCCCAACCCGTAAGTTTGCCGCGTCCACCTACCGGCGGACCATGTGGGCGGCACTAGTCTCCTGAAGCGCCTGGGAACAATACAAGTGGCTCCCACTTATGATGCACGCGGAGTGCTTCGTCGACATTGTCGTGATTTCTGGCACAAACCACTCCCTGACGGGGTGGGCTCCCTTTTGCTTTCGTCTACTTTGCAATGGTCATCTCCGTTTTGTGGCCTCCCTTGTGTCTTTGCGGCCCTTTAAAACACCGCCTCGGTGAACCAGTCCAGTCCCTCGCTCGACAACAGCCCTTCGATTCCATAGATGTCCGACTCGAGGTCCAGCTCGATACCAGCGGACATGCCGGAGGTGCCATGTCCTCCAAGTTCATCAACATCAACTGGCTTCGTGACGTCTGCAGCCACGGGGCCATACGGCACCCCTTCGACAGGCCCAGCTCCAATATTCGTATTATCTGCTGTGAGCATCACCGGACGCTCTTCCGTTTCCCCGTCAGCCATGCTCCCAGACAAAGACTGGCTCCTCGGGCCACGGTGTCCCCCCTCTCTCTCATAACGCGCCACGGACGCCTCCATCTTCTCGGCCACGACCTCAAAGGCGTCCCGGTACTTCTTGGCACTCGCCCACTGCTCGGCGATGACATACAGCAGAGTGGAGCACGCCCCCAGGTCGCGCGCACACGACGACCCGCGTTCCGTATACAGAGCGGGCGCACTGCAGACGGCGTAGATCAAGGTGAAGCCGGCGACAAAGATGGCGTGCAGGTCGCGCAGTGAAAAGGGCACGGGCGCCAGACGATGGAGGCGGCGGTACAGCTGGCAGATTTGGCCAGAGGCGTCGGCGACGGCTGCATAGTTGGCCCAGTTGCCAGCGTCTGTGCCTGTACCTGTGCCTGTACCGGTGCCTGTACTCATGTCCAGTCGTCCTTCCGTCATGAGCGGCTGGAGTAGCGACCGACGGGCTTTGTGAAACTCGAGAAGCAACTCGGTCTGCCGGGTGAGCGTGCAAGGACCGCGGTCGAGGTCCGCCGGGGGCGAGTCTGTGCTTACTTCCACGACCACACTCGGGCGATCCCTCACTGGATCAAACGTCTGCAGCACGCTCTCCTTCCACGCGTCCAGCTCGCCGAGCAGTGTGGAAATTGTCCTCGTCAGCTGCAAACGGTGGCCTTGCCCGCCCCGTTTCAGCTGGTACAGAGCCAGCCGGATCTGTGTGTGCAGTTGGTACAGCTCGATATGTGCACAGTGGAAGCGCACGTTTGTTCCGTCACCGTCCTGCAGCTCGCACCGGCCCGGCATCGGCGCATCAATCTCCTCGTCCGACAAGGCAAACGGCCGCCCCAGCACCAGGGCCGTCTTGCGCTCGAAGATGTAGACGCTCCAGAACAGGCGGCGGCGGTGCTCGTCCACGGCGGCATCGCCTCCTCGCACGGCCCGCTGCCGATGCAGTCCGAGCTCGATGCACTGACGCACGGCCAGACCGGCCAAGTGCCAGACAGACGTGCCCGACGGCGAGCGCATCGACTGGATGGCCAGCAGGAGCGTCAGTTCTATGGACCGCACGCTTGTAAATTGCAGGCCGTCGCCAATGATCTGCATCGCCCGTAGGAAATGGCCTTCTGGATCGGGTGTCCCATTTTTGTCGTTCTGTGGTGGCGACGTCGATGGAAGCGATGTTTCCTTGCCCAGTAACTGCAGGCAACGTGATCCAATCGCATACACCAGGTGCAGCAGCGCTGCGTCCATGGGGTCCACCTGTGCGCGTGTCCGCCCTGTCGCCCCCGAATGCAATGCCCACAGCTGCCGACGGTCCAGAAACGGATAGAGAGGGTGGATCAGTTGCAGATACGCCCGAATATAGGCAGTGCCTGTGCAGGGGGCCGGCAGCGATGCGGGGACTGCCGTGTCCGCCTGGTTTGGAGCCTGGTTCAGCGCTTTGTTCGCAAACGGCCGGTCCGTCAACAGCGGCAGCGACACCACGTCCTCCGATGCCACGCTACCGAAGTCCAGTGCCACCTGCACAAAGTGGGCCAGGCTCAGGCCGGCCGAGAAGCCAAAGTAGTGCGGCTCGGCGGCGGCGCACGACGAGAGCAGGCCCATTCCCGTGACCAGACGGTCGCCGCCAGCAGAGGAGGCAGGCGTGCCCGTTTCGGGTTTGTCTGTGGACGTCGGCGACCGACCCTCGAGTTCCTTGACGCGCGCTTCCAAGGCCTTGACGTACGACGGCGGATACGCTGTGCGATCGCCGTACAGGCATGCCGCATCGGACCGCGCACAGTTTCCACACGACGGGCTGCCATTGTCGCACCGCTGCCGCCGTGTCTTGCAGCGCTGGCAGGCTACGAGGACACGGGGGCGTTTGTTGGGTCGGCGGGAGCCGGACGTCGCCGGTGAGCCTGGTCTTGCAGTCGACATTATGATCAAAATAAAGACATAAAAAAATAGTAGTTGGCAATGTCAACGTAAAGGAAGACCCGACGGATGGGACCGACGCAGACGATATGAGCTTGTGTCGACGGCTTTAGCGCTCCTGCTAGTCGACAACTGGCGCATCTTTCGCACTCTGATAAGGACGGGGTGGTCCATCACATCTTTTCTGTCTGGTTCCGTTATCGGTCATCATCTTAAAGACCTTCTTATCAATCCGTCGGGCCATTCCGATACCACTTTGCAGAGAAGAGTTGACTTGCGTCTTGACAATGCAGACGATGTCGATGGCTTCAGTCAATTCAGAAAAGTAAATTTCTGTTGCCTTTGCTCCATGGTCACCGTCGCCCTTCCCGTCAACCACAGCGATGCCCCGCCACATCCGCCTCGGTGTCATTGTGCCGTCGTCCAACACGGCCCTCGAGCCGTTGACACAACAAATTGTCGCATTTCTCAACGCCGATCCCACTTTTGGATTGCTGCTGTCTGTCCATTTTGCCCGTGTCCGCGTGACTACCATTTCCTTGTCCGCCGACGCCGACGCCCAGTTCGCCCTGTCACCCATGCTCGATGCCGCGCAGCTGCTGGCGGATGCTCGCGTCAATGTCATTGGCTGGAGCGGCACGTCGGCATCGTGGCTGGGCTTTGCCGCGGATGATGCGCTGTGCACGGCCATTGAAGAAGCCACGGGCATCCCCGCGACAACGGCTGTGCGGGGGATGAACTCCCTTCTCCAGCAGCAGAGGCGGCCACACGATACAGTCGGTCTCGTGACACCGTACACGCCCGACGTCAACAAGGCTATCCAGGAGAACTATGCCGCCGCTGGTCTGACAATCTCGGATGGCCGCTCACGGTACACAGGGTGGTCCGACAACATAACGTTTGCCAATCTCGACGAACCGACGCTCGACGCAATGGTGGACGACGTCGTGAGACATGGAGCCCAGACAGTGCTCATTATGTGCACAAACGTACGGGCAGCGCAGCGCGTGCAGTACTGGGAACGACAGCACGACATCCAGGTGCTCGACTCTGTAGCCACGACCGTCACGGCCATGCTGGACGCACTGGGGATAGAAGTGAAGAGTGCCAGCGCTGCTGAGGCGTGGGGCAAACAATTTCAAAGCTCATAATGCGGCTGCCAGAAGAGATCAATGTAATACAATGCTCGGCGACATGTTTTTTTGCATCATCCCGTATGTCACTAAAATGTAATATGCAAGAACTCCACAATCAAACTGCCGCCCGCAGGACATCCCATGTTCCCTCCATCCGTCTGACATACGGCATCCCACACCCGTGCCGTGGCACAAACCGCCCTACACCGTTCTTGGCTACCACCACGCCGTCCTTGAACACAACCTGTCCCCGCAGCAGCGTCATCCGCGGCCAGTTCCAAAACTCGATGCCCTCGTACGGCGAGTAGTCGCAGGCGTCGTGCAAGTCGCGGGCGTGGCTAAGACGGCGGGGCCGGAACGTGGACTGCGGATGCCACACGACAATGTCTGCATCCGATCCGATCTGGATGGCCCCCTTCTTCGGGTACAACCCATACAGCTTGGCCGGGTTTTCCGATGTCAGCTCGACAAATCGCTTGGTATCGATGCACCTCCTCTTCAAGACGCCTTCCGAGTAGAGGAGGGGCACGCGCGTCTCGACACCGGGCAGTCCGTTGGGCACTTGTGTGAAGCGCTCACTATATGTGCCGTTGTCGTTTGGTCGTTGCCCCAACTGCTTGCCGTGTGGATCATTAAACCGGTATGGACAGTGGTCCGACGAGAAGATTGTGAACGTGCCGTTGGCAATGCCGCGCCAGATGGCCTCGATGTCGTTCGGGTCGCTCCGCAGCGGCGGCGAGCAAATGTACTTGGCGCCGCAGAAGTGGGCTTCTGCCAACCGCTCCTTGCCCAGCAACAAATACTGCGGGCACGTCTCAGCAAACACGGGCTTCAGGGACGCCTGTGCCCGCCGGATCACCTCCATGGACTCTCTAACGGAAACGTGCACAATCAGCATCGGCGTATCCATGACCGACGAAAACGTTACCGCACGGTTGACGGCCTCGGATTCGGCTGCTGCAGGATGTGCCACGGCCTTGTACTGCGTTTGTGTCAGACCCAGCGACTCCAGCTGCTCAGTAAAGAAGTCGACCAGGTCACCGTTTTCCGCATGCACCAGCGCCACCATTCCCAGCTCCCGTGCCGCCTTGAGCGCCCGCAGAAACTGTGCATCCGACAACCGCATGTGCTTGTATGTCAGAAACAACTTCATGCTCGTGATCCCGCCAGTTCGAGCCAGCACGGGCAGCTCTTCGTCCAGCACTTTGGTCGTCGGGTCCGTGATGATGGCGTGAAAGCCGTAGTCGGCATACGACCCGATTTGCGCGGCTGTCTCGTGGTACCGGGCCACCTGCTCGGCCACAGACTGCCCCCGGGACTGCTCGGCAAAGAGGAGCACCGTCGTTGTGCCGCCCGCAACGGCGCTCCGGGTTCCTGTTTCGATTGTGTCTGCAGCCACGTAACCGGCTTCCTTTGCGCGCGGCGACTTGTCTTGCGACAAGTGGACATGTGCATCGACGCCGCCCGGCGTGACTACTGCATATTCGCAGTCAATCACCTGTGTGCTTTCCGACGACGACAGCTGCATTCCTATGGCCGTGATGACGCCGGCTTGGATGCCAATGTCGCAAACGTAGACGCCGTTGATATTGGCGTTGCGCAGCAGCACATCGAACGCGGGTGATGAGGCAAGTGACCCCATTGTGTGTGCCGTGAAAAAGTGTGGGAGGTCGACTATTGCCAAATCATCGAGTCGTCTATGACGCTGGTTAAAAGTTGGTCGAAAATTGATCCCAATTTTAAATAATATTGTAAACCCGGCACTACGCTGTAGCTTCACAGTAACAGCACAGAACTTCGCATATTCGTGTCAAACGTTTGCTGTCGCTCCTTTCTCAGGAAACACGGACCAGTCCGATGTCGCCCATTTCAGTGTAAATATCGTGCCTTCCCTTCCGGACCAATTCGACTGATAACGGACCCTCCCGAGAGCCTAATAACAGGACCATATCAGACGCTACGGACCAATCAGACGCCACAATTGGACGTCAAATCGTTATCGGAATGGCCTCTAGGTTTCCAACAACACCACAGAAAGAGCAGAAAGCAAAGTAGGAACCCAGAAGATACTTCTTTGCCCCGTTGACTTATGCCCTTTGTCTCTTTTCGGAACGGTCCATCGCATCGCACACCATGTCGTATCTGCTGTCGTAGCGCACGGATATCTCAGCATTTGCTCTATCTGATACGTTCTTCAGCAGCCGCAACGCGATATAGCCCTGCCACATGCATACGCACAAGGGCGTATAAGAGAGTGGGTTGTCTCGAGACAAACTCCATGATCGACTGTCAACAGTCACCAGTCACCAGTCAAAGCCACCGAAAGGAGCCAGCCGCCCAGCGATCCGTCGACCCCCACCGACCGCCAATATGCACCTGCCCACCGCCTCCTTCCCCCGGTCCCGTGCCGACTGGAAGGCCGTCCTCAGCACCAGCGACGGCGAAGCAAAGTCCTCGCAATGGATCAACAAGGACTTGGCGCCAACACCGGCCGCCACCCGCACCTGGTCCTGGATCTCCCTGACCAGCTACTGGTGGGGCAATGCCTTCAACGCCAGCCAGTGGTCCAACGGCGCGTCCCTCGTCGCCGTCGGCCTCACCTGGTGGCAGGCCTTGATTTCTTGCATCCTGGCCAATCTTGTATCGTCGTCAGTCGCCCTCGCCTTGGGCCGGCCTGGTGCCCGCTACCACATCGGTTACCCCGTCCTGGCCCGCAGCGTCTTTGGCATGTACGGCCACCTGTTTTTTGTATGGATCCGCGCTGTCGTAGCCATCATCTGGTTTGGTGTCCAAAGCTACTTTGGGTCCCAGCTGCTGAGCGTCATGCTGCGGTGCATTTTTGGCGGCTCGTGGTGGGACCTGGCGAACCATCTGCCAGAGAGTGCGGGCATCACGTCCCGGGACATCCTGGCGTTTTTCCTGTTCTGGATGCTCGAGATGCCCTTTCTCGCCGTTCACCCGTCCAAGATTAAGTTTTTGTTTGCAGTAAGTACCAACGGATATCAATACATGGTACAGGAAAGCCGTACTAAGTCTCCACAAGGCCGAGTCTATTCTGTGCCCCCTCGCCTGTATCGGCGTCTTTGCCTGGTGTGTTCACTATGGCGGTGGTCTCAAGATTGATAGCGTCTCTGCCGCCGTCCCCGTCACCGGCTCAGCACTCGGCTGGGCGATGCTCAACGGCATCAACAGCTGCCTCGGCGTCACCTCCGCCCTACTCGTCAACCAACCTGACCTTACTCGCTACACACGCCGCCCCAAGGACGCCGGGTGGCGTCAAGCGTTCTCCATATTTGCCAGCAAGACGCTCATCTTTTTCTTTGGTATCGGGGCCACTGCGGCCGTCCAGGGCCAGTTTGGCGAGGCGTACTGGAACCAGTGGGACCTGTTGAATGCCATTCTCGACCGCTTCTGGGGTCCCGCCGCGCGCGCGGGCTGCTTCTTTGCGTCGGCCGGTTTCACCCTGAGCGTGCTTGGCGTCAACATTGGCTGCAATGCCATTCCATTTGGTGCCGACGTCACCGGCTTGTTGCCACGCATTTTTAAGATTGTGCGCGGTCAGCTCTTCTGCGGCATTATCTCGCTCGCCATTGTGCCGTGGAAACTACTCACCGACGGCGCCGGCTTCATTACCTTTTTGGGCAGCTACAACATTTTTATTGCGCCCATCTGCGGCATCGTCATTACGGACTACTACTTTGTCAAGCGCGGTAACATTCACGTGCCCTCGCTCTTCCACCCGGCGTCAGGATCGCTGTACTACTACACCAAGGGCTGGAATCTGAAGGCAGTCATCTGCTGGGTCTGTGCTGCCACGTTTGGTATTCCCGGCCTCATTGGATCATACCACCCGACGTGGGTTGGTGTGGCTGCCACCCACATCTACGAGATGGGCTGGATCATCACCTTCTTCTCGGCTGCCGCTTTCTATTACGCTACAAATGTAGCTCTTCCGGCTCAAGTGCAGCCCCGTGGCTACTCCGGGACCATCAGCAGCAAGGATTTTGAGTCGTACGCGGCGACAGACGGCTACTTGGACGGCGATTCGCTAGTGGAGTTCCCTGTTGTTCTTGTTGGATCTGGCGACAGTGCGGCGTCGCAAGACGTCGTAACGGAGAAAGTGTAGGGTTACGCAGAGCAACGGGCCGTGCAAAACGGCAGGATGCAAGGCCGTGTCAGATTGCTTTTACATATCACTTATTTTAGCGCTTGGCAGTACTGACAACGAGCAAAGTGTATTAGAAATGGTATCTACTAAGTCCCGTAGCAACGACACCACGCTGATATCACAAAAGAAAGTTACAAAACACCAGTCTATGGACGCCCGCGTCTATCAGGTTCGACAGCCCACCAAGGGATGATGTTGAAAAATCACGATATTGATAATCAAAGTTCAACCACTAAACAAGAGGAAAGGAACGAGGAACGGAATCAGGAACGAGCGGCAAAAATCCTCTAATGGAAAGGAAATGAGTAAGCAAAGGAACTTGAAAGGATACTTCCCCAGACTGTAGAGGCCAGCCTGTTCCCTGTCACCTACTTTCGTCGAGAACAGCAGCGCCACGACGAGGGCATCTCCGTCTCGGGTCCCCGCATGATGCTGCCTGGGTGGACAATGTTGTACAACACAATGGCAACAAACATGGGCAGCGTGTCCAGGGCGTACTGGAAGGCCTCGTGGTTGGGGATGCTGCTCTTGAGGCCGCTCGCATACTCGACGATGCGGAAGATGATGCGGATGATGATGAGGGCCAAGACGGCGAATTGGACGTAAAGCAGCAGCAGAGCCGGACGGAGGGCGCGCGGGGACTGCTTAGCTTCACGGCGCATGACAGTCCACAGCTTGATGCCAAACACGCTGCAAATCAAGATGAACAGGAGCTGGACACCCACGCCGCCCATGTAGACGTGCAGATCCCGCAGTACCTCGTCCTCGGGGATGCCGTTGGCCGACGCCGTGGCCGCGCCGTAGACCTGGATGACAAATGCAATGATGTCCAACACCACAAACAGCAGGCCGAACCTGGATGCTGGAACCCCCCACAGCTTGCGATCCGGTGTGTAGTTGTACACGAGGCGGCCAAAGACCATGTAGGCAAAGGCATTCGTCCACAGCGGCGCAATCAGAATCAAGACGAACCAGGCGGCATAGTCGCCGAAACTGGCGGGTGTCTGGATGCTAATGGTGCGAAAGATGTAGGTCAAGAGCTGCCACAACACGGACATGACAATGACCCAACAATAGTTGAAGAACTTTTTGTAATAGATGGCCTGGCCGACGTGGGCGACAAGGGCGATGGCGAAGAGCACGAGGAAGAAGATGGACGCGCCAATATTAGGACAGAACGACCACATCGTGTCGGGCGTCGTCAGCGCCTTGCACGTATCGGCTATGGAGGCCATTGTCGCTTGTGGAGGTGGTGGAGATGGAGGAGGTGGAAGGGGTAGAAGGGGTGGACGAGGTGGACGACGCGGTGAAGTCGTAGATGTTCAGTGTCGACGAGGAGAAAGTTGTCTGATCAGGATGATAAGGAAGTCGGTACGTCCATGTCTTTTTGCAAAGAGGTTGACACTGGGGGCCCAGAATGATAAACTTATACAGATGGTCACGTATGTTTATGGATTTTACATGAGGCGCCCTGTGAAGCATAATTTTGGCGTCACTGCTACTACGAAAGGACCATACGAGCAGATGCACGCGTATGGACAAAGTGCCGTGTGGTACATAATTTTGAATACACGCCGTGATCTTAATCTTAACTTCAAATTCTGTAGTCATTGGGAGACATTGGCCGACGTATGGGCAGTCAAGCCATACGAGCAGGCAGGGCACGTTTCCAGACATGCGGTACGACGCACATCTCACCAAGACAACGGCAGAGAGACAGTGAGACTGAGACGGTGGAGCAGATTGTGGCCAAGCAGCCGCGTCCAGATTCTGTACAGAGTCGCAATATTTGGGGCCATTGGATGACAGAACCGAAAGTCGTTTGCGTACAAAATTAGAATTTAAAATGAGCGAATGAAAAAAAAAATAAAATAAAAAAATAAAAAATAAAAATACATAATCAAAAATACAGACACCAGAAAACTACAAATAAACCAAACACCCACCCAGAATCTTCAAGTTCTGGTAGAAGCCTGGAAGGAAGAGGCAGGACATTATGACACCATGTCAGATGGTTGTTCAGCCGTTCAGATCGTCGCGAGATTGAAACAGCATCTCGCGCCAGGCACCGGCAACGGCCCTCCTCCATAAATAAGCTCGGAAAGGTGGATGCGTAAAAGTGGAGGCTCAAGATATCCAGATGCACATGAAACCGTGATTGGCCTGTTCGTATGGGCATGTGGGCCCCTTTGCCGTATCCATGCCTCTGGTTCGTCCGCCTCTTCAGCCCTTTTCTGTACCCTAGTCGTCTTTGTTTGCGACGCTGACGGAGCATGCCGAGGGATGGCTCTTTGCCCCATTTGTGCACCCTTTCTCGCCAAACGGTTCCTGCAGCCCAGTCGTACGCCATAATATATATCCGGGAACAGCTTGGCCGCCGCAAACGACCCTGACCGGTTGCCGGTACTTTCCTCGAGCTCGTATGGGCGTCCCCTTCTTTCACTCGCACATCTCTTGTCCCTCTTTTTTGACATCTCGTCTCCTGGACTTCGTTTCACGCCCATCAGCCACGTCAAGAAACGGTCTTGGCCCCCCGTCCATACGAGCACAACGACCCGCCCTCTCTCACTATTCACGACGTTCGTCCGTCCAAGACGCTGAGACCAAGCTCACAATGACTCGGGTCAAGCCCGGCGAGCGGAAACGGGCCAAGGCCCCTAAAGTGCGCACTGGATGTCGAACCTGCAAGTACGTGTCCCATACGATGAATCTCTTCCACTTTTGCCAGACCATGCTTCGATGCTGTCGTGAGACGCCGTACAACATCGCCACCCAACGCTAACCACCAACAAACAGATGTATGTGAAACTGGTAATATTGCTTTGTTGACCCTGTATATGGCTGGCCCTGCACTTTTGCCGTGCTGCCGCCTCTCTCGTCCCACCTTCGCCCCGTGCTCCATGTCGTTTGCTCCACAGACTATCTCCCCGCAAGAATGGGACAGCTGTGGTGCATGATCTGCTGGTGCACCACGGACGGCAAGAGCGTACGGACTAGAGACTATGTACTAGAGACTGCACATCGCTGCCCTATGTACCGTATGGCTGGCTGCAGCTAAATGGCGATCCCACCTCCCCTTCTGCCCATATTTTGTTATATTGTGTCACTCGTCTCTCATACTCACTCTGCCAGTGCGAAAAGTCAAGTGCGACGAGGCCCGGCCTGCCTGTCTTCGATGTAAGTGTTGCATAGCCTATTATGGCTATTGTCCCTGTACACCTGCTCCTCATCCTCCTTCGCTTATGTGTTCCTGTGATGTGTGCACGTATGACGTAGGCCAGTGGCGATCCTTTAGCATATGTCTGATCACCTACCCGCTGCCTTTCACCTCCTCTGACACAATGTAGGTACGTCAACGGGCCGTGTTTGTGATGGCTTCGACCCTCTGCCCAGCGACCACTCCAACAGCAACGGGGCCAGCAATGGGCGCTTCGTTGCCGTTGCTCACCGGCCAACTGGACGCATGTCCATGTCGGCTTTGTCGCCGGCGCCGAGTCCATCGTTGTCGACGCACCGGATCTCGCCGTCGTCCTATGGCGATCCCTTGGAAGCACGCTCTCTGCTCTACTTTACCGAACGCACCATCGCACAGTTCCAGGCGTTCTTCCCCGACGAGTTCTGGAACAGCCACGTGCTGCAGTTTGCCCTTTCGCAAGACTGCATTCGGCACGCAATCGTGTCGCTGTCCGCCCATCACGAACGCTACTCGCGGCCACACGCCGACGGCGTGCCAGCCATCAGCAGTGCCACCACGACCCCTAGCAACATGGCCATATTTTCCAAGGTGGGTTCATCCGACATGAATGCCAACATGGATGCCGACCGCGCGTTCGCCTTCAAACAGCACAATCTCGCAATCAAGTCGCTGCTGGCCTGCGGCGACCCCAGCAAGGCGCTGCACGTGCACCTCGTGTCGTGCTTGATTTTCATTTGCATTGAAGCTCTGCAGGGCGAGCTGCTGTCCGCAATCCGCCTGTTCAAGCACGGCCTCTCCATGATCGAGGAGCTGAACCGGCGGACAGGCATCCTGGGGAAGGTGACACCGGGGCCATCGTCGACAGACACTGCAGCAGGCACCGCGCCAGGCGCACCAAAACCAGCCTCAGCCGCCACCCCTGGATCCACGGCATCGTCGTCCGCATCTACGTCATCTGCCGCGACAGCATCTACGTCTGCATCCTCTTCCTCTACGACGTCGCTGCCGCAGACACCACAGGCCGTGATGCCCTCTCCGACCGCTCCTTCGTTTTCCGACAGTATCGTCAATGCTGTTGTCGCTTTTCTCAACCGGTTTGCCGTCCAAGTGGCGCTGCTGGTCGGCGACATCGACCCCGACCTGAACATTGGCGTCATGGCCGGCGTCAGCCGCAAACCGACGCTGTCGCCTGACACGCGCTTCCATTCGCTGCTGGAAGCCCGCGAGAGCATCCTGAACCTGGCCATCCACGTGCTCTCGGGTGCGCCCCGCGCCCGCTTGGGCGACGGCTTTCTGGAGTCGGCCGTGCTCATGCTCGGCTGGTGGACCGCTGCGTTTGACCAGATGGTGGCCGAGCGGGGGCCCTCGCTGTCGCCGCGCGGCATCGCGCTCTTGGAGCTGCACAAGCGGTATCTGGCCGCCCACCTCAAAGTGCCCAACCCTACCAACAGCGACGACCGCTGGATGAACTACGTGACCGAGTTCGCCGACATCGTGTCGTTGGCCGAGCGGGCGCTGCAGCCGGAACCGGATGCCGTCGGCACCAAGGAGACCACGCTGCCCACGTTCCACATGGACCTGGGCGTCATCCCCGTCATGTTCTCGACAGTCCTGCGCTGCCGCGACCCCGTCGTGCGCCGCCGTGCGCTGGCCGTCCTGCGCAACAACCGTCTGCAAGAAGGCATCTGGGACAGCTCCTTGACGCTACGAGTGGCGGAGCGGATTGTCATGCTCGAGGAGAGCAGTGTGGCGGCGGCGGCGG